TGAACACCTCAATGTGAATGCACACACATTTTGTGGTCTACATCAGCTTGATGAAGTCATACTATGACACCACTCTTACGAGCCAGTCGGATATGAGGCGTTCTGTTGGAGACTACGCATCTCTACCATACCCTGTAGCTAAGCGCATTCTGCTAGAGAGCAATGATACGGTTGTGAAGCGCCTGGGGTACTCATGCGATGGCGTAGCTCAAGTTGCGCAGCCAAAAATTAACTCATCTAATCATTGGTTGCAAGTCAAAATTTAAAGTGAGTCGACGTATGAGTACCACTGAAAGTTTCCGCGAGGGCTAGCAGCAAGGCGGCATCCTCCGCTGGGACTGCTTGTTGAGCATTGGGTGGCCCACTTCCACGTGAAGCGGTATGTAGGCTGGCGGCTTACCAGAGCTGTAACTAGTTTATGGATAAAAGTGGGAGAAATAAACTAATGGAAGATTAAGGGGTCACTCGGCAAAAAAATATCTGGTGTCGTTGCTGCTTACGACTTTAGGCACTCTCTGTCTTATCATCCCAATAGTATAGGCAGGGTCTACCGTTGCAGCACGCTTTCCACTAGCAAGTGGGGCCAGACTTTGCTCCAACTTGGTTAGAATCTTGGTCGGAAATGTAATAGATCTCGCATGGTGGCGAACGAAGCTATTAGCAGCAAGAACTCAATATATAACTTTTGTCTCATTATTCCGATTGTGCTTTATACTTTGCAAGGTCAAGCGTTAAATATGCCCAATTTGAACGTCTGCTCTAATGAGGCTGGCTTCTAAAGGGTTAGCTGCCAGAGAAGACGTTACATTCTCATCATAGGAAGCAGCAGATCCAGCGCGATACCTTTGAGAATTTTAACAGCAATAGTACATAAGCTCAGCATCATGGAGAGTACATATTATCCAGCCGCTGTCATTCAGAGCGGGAGGGTTCTTCTGAGAAATGAAATCTTAGTGCACCCGCAACGGGTCATTGAGCGCTTGTTCCACTCTTTTTCCAAGAAGAAGGCATGCACGCATAGGTGTGTGGATCTCCACTTCAGTGTGGCAAACAACTGACTCCAGATTCACATTCACGGCATTATTGGTCCATATAAGTCGTTGCGACTCTTGCATTTGAAGAAGCGCAAGCTGAGCTCCCAAAGCCATGCCAGCTCATTGGTCGTCACAAGCTGGACGTCGACGTTCCCGACGGGGTGAGGCAACACAATTCGCGTGCATGGAGCACCTAATTTGAGGATATGCACTGAAGAAGACATTTACAGCAAAGGAATCTGGTGTTCGACTAGGTGTTCGACCTTCCTCATCGGTGAGCACCCTGGCCTCTTCACCAAGAATGACCCTGTGGCTGTTGGCCACGAGGACTACACCATTCTCAGAGACGCATTAAGACATATAAGGGCAGGTAATAAAGAGCCTCTTAATGCGAATATGCAGACATTGAAAGGTGTAAGGTGTGAGCTGTAATTACGCGTAAAGCCATTGCTTGCTAAGACTACTTCTAAGCAATGTCTTAAGAAGACAAAAGGATTGTAAACTCCAACGTGTTATATATCTCTGCCAGACATGAAAACTGAAGCACGTATCGTACTATAGCACAAGTCCAATATAGACTTCTAGAAAATTCTGAAAATAAACCTTATTACACTTTTTTTAAAAGTGCAAACTACAGATTGTATGTGCTCAGCTCGTTGTAACCAAAGTACTGGATATGATGAGGACGATGGAACATCGTAAAACCGAGGTCTGCAGGACACGTGGTTAGTCAGCCTTACGCCATGCAGTATATATACTTAATCAAACAGATTCAAGAATAAGCAGGTTTTTCTTTAGTGGATCACAAATTTGCTCATGAGAAGAGCTTTTAAACTCGAATTTTGAATTTTGTTGAGGTAGCTTTTCAGCAAACGCTTCTTCTGTGCAAGATGCACGGCACCCCAGTTGTAAGATCGTTGCTAATTAAGTGGTGCAAAATATCCAGATCATGTTGAGCAAGCCGACAGAATCGTCGAGGTATAATTTTAGTCTCCTGTAGGTGCAGGTGGCCTGGTAAGCTCTGATTACGTCGAAGCGGTCAAGTTAAAAAGAGCCAGAACTAGAGGGACAGGTAGCGATCCCCGTTAACGATGTGTTCTGAACGTGTTTCCTCTTTAAAGTCATTATAAGCCTTGATACATTCATGAGCGTCGTGAAAGTATGTACAACGCAATACAGCTGTGCTTGATAGAGATTATGCGAACAATTTAGCATGTCAAAGACTGATGCTGTATCTGTGAGTTTTGAGATGGGTGACTGGTCAAATGTTTCGCTGATTCTAAAAAGAAGTCGAATTCTTAATAATGTAAAATGCTGTTTGGTCTTAGATCTGGATACATGGTATCATCTAATCCTGAGTTTGGCCCAGAGGCTATAGATTGACCAAAAGTACGAGCACGCACTTCTTTTCTTCTGGAGCTGTACGGAGTTTTGAAGTCCTCTGCTAAGAAGCAAAATAGGTTGTGAGTCAAACTAAGGTTACATGGTAAGGGCTATCTGAGTTTATTCATGGTATTACACAGGCATAGCTGAATAAACAATGCACGTTATGTGCCCACTCTGGAAGGTATTGAATTTTATAAAGTTGTAGCAACAAATTATACCGACGCGTGAATGATAGCTCTGTAGCAGAGCTTGGAAACCCATTCCTCATGAAGGTGAACTGTTAAAGGGGTAAGAGAACTAAAAAAAGGTCTTTCGCTGAGCTAAAGCTGTAAGGCTGAAACTGACGCAAAACTTGATCTTGTACATAAAGTCATAATTCCCTCCGTAATTGATTTTCCGTAATTACTCTACCTTCATGTACACATACTGTGAAATACCAAAAAGACGAGGAGACGTAAGTTTTGGCGAGATATATACAGTAAGCCCCATGAACTTCATTCTAAGCTTCGGCCGCTGAAACTTAAGCCTCTGTCACCACACCTAAATCACTAGGGCTGCCTTAATATTTAGGGCGAACAAATGCATATATCGTGCATGTGAAGAAGACACATGGCTGCAACATCTTATTTCTGAAATTTCCCTTGATGTGAACGCTCTTGTAATCACTTTCGTTTTATGCGCAGTCCAGCTATTGACATGCTGCACATGGCTTTTGGCAAGCGTCCGCAAGCATTTATTTTGCCAGTTTCTGTTAGAGTTTGATCACATTGCGCGTACTTTTTAATGTTCAAGAAGCAAGAAATGACATCGATGAGCTACCTCTGCGAGCAATTAAATATGAAAGCGTGCAGCTTTGATTGCTGACCTGGTATATGGGATTTGCCATTCATCTTTGCCGCCGTAATCCAGATCATCTCGAAGACGTTGTAACAAAATCACTTTTTTAGTGGCGCTGTACAGACTATGTACAATCCGGCGTTGTGACCGTCCCGATAGGTTTGAATTGCTGTTCTCTGGCGTGTTGAACCTCCTTGCAACTTTGGACGCTTGATTGATATGCACATCTATACTATACGCACGCTAGCTCATCACAGGATACTTCTTGTTCCAGTCACAATACATCATTATAAACTCTATTGCTGAGCTCAGTTTTGTTTTGTTTGACTTCATCGTTCCGATACTTGTTCTTGCTAAGAACTATCAGATCGTTCACGTAGATAGCGATAATACAGGGCTGCTTTTTTGAGAGATGAATGCAAACATAAAACAAAGAAGATTCCAATCCTTAGTTTTTTTAATCAAGCTTGATATTCTGATTCTCCTGACGCTGCTTTGATTCCGTAAAGTACCTTCTTGAGCAGACACTCTTTGACAAGATCACCCGTTCGTTGAATTCGCCAGTCCGATCTGTATAATTATCTCTTAGATAAGAAAACGGACGTGCGCACCTCAGCACCCTCAGTCTTCAAGTCTTCAACAACAACGATTGCAAATCAGCACACATACGAAACCGGTGCAAAGGTCTACGAATAGTCGATGTCGTGGCGCTAGTATATCCCTTCAACACCAGGCGAGCCTTGACGATGTCACCTATGTATTGGCGCTTGATTTGATAAAACCCACTTCAGCCGACTGCGCTCTTCTTCAAGTCATGCCAACGCGCATCGAACATCATACACTCGACAAGATATTTAATTTTTCATCGCGCGCAATCATTGCTTACCCTGGTTACTCCATTAAAAGAGGTGGCACGCTCACCGTCATGATGTTTTTCAATTAGACAGAATAATCATCTAAATAGTCGTCTTAACTAAATTGGTAACGAAGCATTTTAAATTTTTGCCAACATAGCGCACTCTTCTTCGCCATATCTTTCATGTGTACTTAAATTGGCGTTAAAACTCAATCGTTTACAATTAACAGTGTATAGTGTATACTATTACCCCAGTGGCTTTTTCGAATTCGTTTCGAAAAAGCCCCGTATCGTCTACAAGATTGATAAATTCGAGTCCTTCGTGCAAATAACCATCACACTCCTTAAATTGATGATCAATCCATCACTGACGTATGTAAGCCAATGCATCTAGCTCTACTTGGCAAACCCCAAAACGCAGCATTAAACTCCACGATTATCCGTCTTTTTGTGCTTCTTCCGAGCCAGAAGAGAATTGCAATCGGTTACAAACACTCACATGAACACAAAATGCAGCTCTCTGTTAAACACAATGCTGAACTGGCTCATACGATAATGTGCTGATGGAAGCATGGTGCTTTGGTTGTCCACTTTTCTCGGACGGGCACCAGGTCATCTCCGTAAGAATTGATTTCTTGCTCAGCCACCCCGTTTTATTTTGCGTTGGATGGTATCGAGATATTTTGCTTGGTAGACTCGCTCCTACAGGAACCTTCGACTGCTGCATTTTGGGGCTCTCTACCCTAATAACAACGAAGTAACTTGACAATAATGCCGCTAGCCGCATAAGCAATTGAAAAAGCTCAAATCTTTTAAAAGTTGTCGCCCTTCTTGTGGAGTGGGATGACACTCATGTCGCCACTATCCATCGTGATAAAAGTCGTTACTTACTCGAACGCAGGCTTAGACGATGAAGGTTTTGGCCCAAGAACGTCTGTGTACACCTTAGCGATATCTTCGCATTCTCGAGCGTCGTCACTGGCCTTGAACGACTTGCACATATCCTTTGCTATTTTGAATATTTTGCATGTAACTGCTGCTGATACCCGTTTCTCTGTCTTTAATCGTCTTAATCGCTATGCTGTACGATAGACAGCAGTATCCACTTAGTGCTATTTTAAGATGTATACGCGAGCCATCTTTTTGGCCTGAGGCATATCACTGTGCTTGATCGCACCTTTGTTAAGAATTCTATCCGAGCGTTACCGCAGCTGTGTTGGAACAAGATCCTGTTTGGGCGGTCAGCGTGTATATTGCTCTGTATATAAACGAGCTTCCCGTTCAGGCAAGCGATTCAACATTTTGCAATGAAAAGGATAACTTCTTGCGCCTTTCAAGCGCAAAGATGCCCGGCAATTGTTTCTGAGAAGCGCACGAACGGTTTGCGGTCCTGACACATGTGCGCTGAGAACCCACTGACCATGACGCACGTTATAAGTAGACACAATGTTTGACAGGTTTTGTTACGTATCCTGTGCGCACCCATCGACACGGCAGATGCTTGTATAGTGTCCAGCCCTTGCTATAGTTATGACACACTCGGAAAACCTTCTTCGTCCATAACTCGTGCTGTTTCTTTATAAATGGATCTGTGCCTTTTCTGTCGACAGAGGGTATGGTCGAATCTTCAATCCGCGGATAACTGCTCAGCATTATCAGCATTCCAACCTTAATAACTTGTGATGGGCATGCAAGACGCCTGAAGTAGGCTTTCGTTGCTCGCAAGCAGCTTATGCACATACAATCCCCTCGCTTGGACCACATGCAGCGTTCTTCATTTCCATTAATGGTCTTCGTTTTCCATCAAATGCTCGCTGACGGTCGATGCAATAACCTTTCCTCAATCCATTATTAATTGCTACGTCTTGTATACGTTAAAAGCTTCCAAGAGTCGTCCAGGCTTTATTTGCGATGGCTGCGTTCATGTCGTGCATGGTCTGGGAGCCGCTAAGGTTAAATTATCGCTACGTGGATCTGTTGCTTCTTGATCTACTCGACCGGGCCTTGTTGCCAAACACCTTACTTTATAATCGTGGAACCTATCAACGCGTTGTAAGACTTGTTGGAAAAGATGGCTTTCATTACCTTTCCGGTCATTCCTAAGCTCATTTTTTTGCTAATGTAAAAACATATAGGCTGCGGTTCTCGTAGTACTTTCACTTCCCAGATAACTTTGCCGTAGTGGGTAAGCTGGTTGAAGCCCGATAATTGAAGCATCGAGTGATGTTCTTTTAACGCTGGATTGGTTGAGGCTCTAATGATCAGGGTCAGTGTGAGGTTCTAATAGAAGTCTGTTTAATTCTGGAAGAATCAATGTCTTGTTATTGCACTTGTGTGTTGGTTTCGCCGAAGTTGCGGTTGAGGTCTTGAAGTTATATACCACATCGACTGTATGTCGCAAGAAATACGTGGTTTCGACCTAGTGTGAAAGCGGTGTGCTAGTTGAGTGATGATACCAAGCACTGAGGTGTTAATGAATGCGCATTAACCTGATTCTTGGGTTTGAACGTGAAGTCGAAGCGGTTGGCACATGTGCGAATAGCTTGGAATTCTGGTGTCAAGTCGATGTTAGTCTTGGTAATGTTTAGTTGAAAAGCGTAATTACATTGGGTGCGGAAGCCAACTTGCCTATTTGAGCTTGATACTGAGTCGACCGATACCAGTTTGCGATCGAAGTGTTAAAGTTAAGATTGTTTGTGTTGATAGTGCAGAATGGTCGTAATCCGAACCTGTGCAAAGTGTGATATTAGAAGCGTGATCCTTGGGTTGTGCCTTGAATTTGCGCTATGTGTAGAAGTAGGAATGTGACCAAGAAGCGTAGTTGGTGCATTTAATCTTGGTGTGTGCTGACCTGTGGGATGGTGTGAGTCCGACAAGTGGTTTATAAGAGTCGTTCTTGGATCAACATGCCATCTTGAATAGTTGGGCCTTTTACGGATAGCCGTGGATACGCGTTAGACTTGATTTCTTAAAATTTAACGTGGATTTTAAGCCGTTCGCACTTGTGTGAATGGCATAGAGACCTTGTGTTAATATCTTGATCATCTTGCTTAGCGTTCGATTTGTTGAGACTAAGTACACCGGGTCGTGGTAGTCCAAATTGGCTGTGTGGACAGCAGAACGTGGTTTTGAAGATTGAGTCCATTGCCGTCTTTATCCAGTTGAGATGTGGAGAGGGTAAAGCGTAAAGCTTTGGTGAAGTACGCCTTAAAACGTCTGAAGCGGGAAGTTTGAGCTATACCATCAAAATAGCTCACAAAATTTTACGTGTCATGATCAAAAGGTAACTAAGGATCTCACCCTTAGTTAAGTCTTGTGTTTGGCGCGTAAGATGTCAAGTAGTACACGACTTCTTTACTGCAGACTTGTGCTGCATGTTTTGCCTTGTCCAACATGAAGACTTTGATCGGTTCCGGCTTATTAGGGTGGGTTGCTCGGAGCTGTAGCTAGCAGTGGATTGGGTCGGCGCAAAGATAAATTGTTGCACAATGGGGAGAATCGCTGTTGGAAGCCGGTCAGTAGCGCGGTCAGTGAATATGGGGGCTACTACGTCCCACAAATTCACTTATCCAACTTGGATCCGAGCTTGCTCGTCTTTGTTAAGTTATAAATCCGTCAGGCCTAGCCTGACCTTTCTAGCAGCTGTACCGGATGTCCGCCTGGGAAACCGGTGTGACGGGTTAGATTCCCGTAGCTGTTGAACTTGACGTTGACTGCACTGTTGACGGTATAGCTTGTAGTTTAGATGTTGTAGAATTAGTTGTATTGTATGAACTGTCATGAAGCCGTCCAGTGTTGCCAGAATGGATTGTTGAACGTCTTGAAGCGGTTGTAGTCGATGTCACAATGCAGTATGTCGCGCGTGAAGACCACATCCACTTCTTTTGTTCATTGTAATCATATCCTGTGAAGTTGTATTTGCACGAAACTGCCGATAATACAGTTGATGTATAAAGGTATAGTCGTAGGCATAGTAATGGACATGGTGAAGTAAATATAATGAGTCAAATTACTTATTCCGCAAAGTCCACTTCCATAGCCATTAGGCCCGTTGTATTTAGTCGTAACACACTTGATACTGCGTTGATCAGTGCTGTTAACTTGACATTGGTTGTCCTTAACGCAACTTCTGCGAGCTTGCAAAAATGCAGTGAAATGTAAGCTCGAGCATGGTCACAAACGAAACCTGCCAAAGTAGTTACTTCGGTGTTGTATAGCTTCTTGTTTTGATATAGCCGTGGGGCGCGTAGAGCACAACAACGAATAATGTTGAGTACCACTTGTATAGCAAAAACACCGTAAAGCTTAGTTGCAGAAGGCATAAGCTGATAATCATTCGAAAATATCACCAAAGTTCAGTCGAGATCTTCTTCAATGAAATCATCAAAAGGCTTAAGGTTATAATTTCATTAATAACGAGCCACATGACAATCCTAAAACAAGTGTTTGGCGTCTTCGACTCGTAAACACCCATGTATACAAGTGGTTGACATGTTGACTCCCGTTCTCGATTTAAACTGGTATCGAACTCCCAGTGCATTATGTTGTAGTCGAAATTTAACATCCGAACAGACCGTAAGAACAGAACGATCCCATAACTACTCCGAAGTCCACATACTTGGGGTCGGCGTAAAGCTGGTCGTCAAGTCAAGTTGTCGCTACGGAAAGTCGGGAGTACTTGTAAATTTTGTGTCTTCAACAGTAACTTAACAAAGTCTCGGTTCTCCATACTAACAACCAGTTGCCGATCAAGACTCCATGCCTGGCAAGCGGCTTCTATCTTGTATGGTCGTGAAGGTCCATCCTAGGGAGTGTCTCCAGGAATAATCAAGATAAGCCTTCGTACCGTGTCATTCACTAGTCGAGTAAATGAACTAGGTCGTGCAAATTCATTCACATTTAGTAGTAGTGGTATTATTTCCATTATAGCGAACATTTACAAAGTCTTGAAGTCGTTTAAAGTCTAGCACAATTAGCATATCAACCGTCTCTGTACTAACACTGCGTAAGGGTGCCTTCAACTTCCCAAACGTAAAGTGAACGTTGCTCGAAACGGCATAGTTTGCATGAACAACTTTCAATTGTTTGTGACGCGTGAGTTATGCAAAGCAGCCCAAAGCAATAGTGTACTTCTCCAGTAATCAGGTAAATGTTTCCAGTAACCTCCTTTCATATTAGGATATAGTATGTCGAAACCTTCTCCTAATGGTTGTGAAGCCATGCAAAAGAGAGCCAATGCTGGTGACATCCAGCGAGGCTCGTTCGGTGTGGCAACTGTGGCTGCAATGCCATCGCGTAAACGCTTTGAGTGCATGACGTCAATGAAGGCTTGTGGTAAATTAAGTCCAAAACCACCCTCTTTGATATTTGTACATATTCTGTCCTTATTAATTACCAAGGCGAGCTGATGAAGCACTGGTGTCATTTGCGGTGACAAAAGTGCGTAATACAATGTCAATTTGCTTCAAAATCGGTAATGGTGTCATAGATCCACTCACCGTGTACCATAGCACCCATCAGATGATACTTTGCAGTATGACAGCCTTTCCTCGTGGTATTCTTGCGCGGTATTTCCAAAGTGCACTCCGAGCTTGTATCTTCTTTACTACCACCTTGTACCGTTGTTTCAGTGTAATAGCTGCTCCTTGTATTACACCAAGAAGCCGTACTGTCTCCCACGGTGACAACACTTTGACTTAAATTCGCCTTCGTAGTTCTGTGAGCTTATCATTGGATAAATGGTGCGAAAACGGCATGATGTTTGTTTTCGTAACATTGAGCCGTAAACAAGCAGTATCCGCATAATCGTGAATGAGACCAAGAAACTCATCGGCGTCGTCGAGATCAGACAATATTCAGGTGCAGTCGTCAGCATACGCTAGTAGCAGATGGGGCGTGTCTGTGTCGTCTACAGGTACGCCTTTTGTAGATAGCCTCGCGCCAAGAACGTTCATCATTGTCTCAATGAAAACAACAAAGAGACCAGGTGACAAAGGATTTCCTTGTCTAATACCTGCGCCCAGTAAAAAAGGTCACCAGGGCATCCATCAAGTAGAAGACTAACGATGATTGTAGAAAGCCTTCACCCATGCACGGAAATTCGCACCAAATCCGAAATAGTGAAGCTCCATATCCAAGC